TGTGTATTCAGATCTCATTCATATTAATCATCAAGCCAAAGTTCCTGAGAAGCTATTTCCCTGTTGTTGAGAACTATGAGGTTTGTGTTCAGTCTATAAATGGTCTCATTCCCTAGATCACTGCACCTAACTTTTAAAACTCTACACCCACAATTTTCCAACCAGTTTGCTTTTCAGACAACAGTGTGTTGATTGCTGGGGAGAGTGGATATAAGAGGACTAAATGGTAATGGAAAAAATACAATAAAGATTAAATTTTTTTTAAAAACAAGCTAAGGTAGAATCTTTCTTGTTTTGAACAAAACATTCTGGATAATTCTGAAATGCCCACCACCTTCTAATTCCTGGATAAGAATTCTTGAGTCTGGTTCAGCAGCAGAAACTGTGATCCGAAGACTGGACACGACCTGTGCAGGGTTTCATCACTGTTGCAGGAGGAAGAGGGACAGTGTCTTTCCGGTTTTAACTTTGACAACCCTTTTTTTCCCACTAGGCTCCTGTGTATCGACCATGACATTGTCTCATTTTATTTCACAGACTATATTAATATCACTCTACAGAATCAAACAGAGTACTTTACACATAGTAGATGGATAATAAATACATGAATGAATTAATCTCTAACTTATTTTTCTCTTACTACTCTTTACTCATTTTTTACCACTTACCTGGAAAGAAAGTGTCCTCAGTGGGTCTCAAACTTGAGCATGCATCAGAATCACTTGGAGGATTTGTTAAACAGATTGCTGGGCCCCACTCAGAGTTTCTCATTTAATAGGTCCAGTGTGTAACCTGATAATTTTCATTTTCTAACAAGTTCCCAAGTGATGCTGATGCTGCTGGTCTAGGAACTGCACTGTGATAAACACTAGTCTTTTTATCCAAGGAGTGCATGGGGCCACATTTTTTTTAAAAAGGTTGGTTTTCAGCTACTAAAGGATTCTATGTATACTTTACCACTATGCTTAGACATATTCTTAATCAGCAGTCTGATTTGCTTACCAATTTTTGTAAGTAACACTATCTGTGGTAATCTGCAACACTGATTATGTATTATAGAAATATATTAAACTTTTTATCAAGGAATAGGTCTGATCTAGAATATTTTACCTAATTTTTACTACTACTCTCTCCTATATATATAAATTTTGTTAATTAGCATAGCACCATGTCTTAATCCCCACCTAAAAGAAATTAGCGACTTCTAGTCGCTGCAAGAAACCACAATCACATCAAAATTACAACTAAAATATAGGATAACCATCATTCAGAACCATCGGAAACTGAGTTGCATGGAAGTCTGACAACTACAGAATTAAAGAAACCACATCCATTCAGACTGGTAGAGAGGGCGGAGATATGGAACAGGCTGGCCCCACATCCATATGTGGGGGGGATCTATTGGGAGCAAGGAGTCCCATCCCCCAAACAGACTCCTCAGCCCAGGGTTCCAGTATCAGGAATATAAGTCCCCATAACTTCTGGATACAAAAACCAGCAGGGATTGAATCAATGGAAGAAACTTCTGGAGTCCCAAGCAGTTCCCCTGGAAGAACCTACACACAGACTTACTCCAATTCACTCCCTCTGTGCTCCAGCACCGGGGTAGCAGCTTCAAAGGCACCAGTGGCACACAGGGAGGAATGGAAATGCCTGCCATCAAGGCAAGACCTAGGGGACAGTTTTCTCCCAGACATAAGGTGGGCAGAAGCCATTGTCCCTCTTCTGAGCCCTCCCCTCACAGAATCACATAGCTGGCAGGCAGGTGCCATATCTGAGACTCCATCAACCTAACACTGTTTGCCCCACCCTGGAGATCCCTTGAGACTCTCTCCCACCCAATTTACCAGCACACCCAAGCTGTTAAGAGTAGCTTTTCCATATCAATGGCTGGTCTTGGATCATGCTTCACAAATTCCTAAATCATATCAAACAAGCAACAGCCAGCCTCCATAAGGTCCCAGTCCCTTTTGCTAAGTGGATCCAGGCCAGACACAAGCTACAGGGAGCCTAGATTCACAGCTTGGCTTTGCCTGAGAATCTCCAAATCCAGCACAAATACCAGACATTTCATTTTGCTTTATAGCTCATGAAGACTGGTTCTGGGCAGAACATAGATGAGGACTGACCTTGGCTTGCACAAACCAGGAAATCCCAGAACATGGGCACCCAGTGAACAGCTATAGACCACTACGGAGCACCACCATCCTGCCTCTGCACAGCTGATTCTCCATGGAGGGTGGAGGGTGGTGGTCAGTGGCCACAGCCAGTCCTTGCAACTGACTAGCCTAGGTAAATCTCTCCCATTGACCTGCCAACAGTAATCGAGACTCAACTATAAAAGGAGAGTGTACTCAGCTGACATGAAGGGCACATTTTAAGTACTCAGCTTGGTTGATAGGGGAGGCTGTACCACTAGACCCTTCAGGACACCTACTACATTAAGCCATGCTACCAAGACAGGGAGTCATAGAAACTCTAACTACTTCATAGAAACAAACACAGGGAGGCTGCCAAAAGGAGGAGACAAAGAAACATGGCCCAAATGAAATAATAGATCAAAACTCCAGAAAAAGAGATAAATAAAATAGAGATAAGCAATCTATCAAATGCAGAGTTCAAAACACTAGTTATTAGGATGTTCAAGAAACTTAGTGAGGACCTCAACAGCATAAAACAGATCCAGTCAGAGATGAAGGATATACTAATTGAAATAAAGAACAATTTACAGGGAAACAACAGTAAAGTGGATGAAGCTGAGAATTAATCAATGATTTGGAACATAAGGAAGCAAAAAACACCCAATCGGAACAAGAAAACAATACTAAAAAAAATGAGGATAGTATAAGCAGCCTCTGGAACAATTTCAAGTGTTCCAACATTTGCATCATAGGGCTGCCAGAGAGAGAGAGAGAGAAAGAAAGAACAATAAATTGAAAACCCACTTGACGACTTCTGCCAAGATGGAGGCATAGGTGGAAACACTTTGCTTCCTCACACAACCAAATCTAAAAACAATAAAGTTCTAACAACAATAAACGCAACCAAACCACAGAAAATCGAACAATACAAAGTCTGAAAACTACGAACCGCTCAGCTAAACCAGTGAGGGGGCGGAGCCAGCAGCAGAGCGGGTGGTGCAAAAAAGATCCCCTGACCCAGGTGGCATGCAGGCAGCAGAGGGCACTGATCCCAGGTGCGGGGTAGCTATGGGTGGACCCAGGGAAGGTGAGACGTGGCTGGCTGTCTGCGGTCACACATTTGCACGCAGATAAACCAATGCAGAGACGTGCATTGAGACAGACCTCTTAGGCCCTGGCGCAGGGCAGCGGGCTAGCACATTTGCGCTCAGATAAACAGGCAGGGGTGAGCGGTGAGGCAGACCAGGGAGTGGAGAGGACCACCATTGCTCCCTCTCTGACCCCGCCCCCACATACAGTGTCACAAACCAGCAACCTGGGTGACACTGCCCTGGTGAACATCTAAGGCACCTCTCCTTATATGTAACAGGTACAAACAGATCAAAACATGGCTCAAGAACAACTCAGAGCCCCAGAGCCAATAAATCTAAGTGACCAAGAAATAGCCAACCTATCAGATGCACAGTTCAAAACACTGGTGATCAGGATGCTCACAGAACTGGTTGATTTTAGTCACAAATTAGAGGAACATATGAAAACAAAACTAGTTGAAATGAATGGAAATGCACAGGAAACCAATAGTAATGGAAAGGAAACTGGGACTCAGATCAAGGGAGCAGACCAAAGGAAGGAAAAAATAACCAAACAGAAAAGATTGAAGAAACAAGAATTCAAAAAAAATGAGGAGAGGCTTAGAAACCTTCAGGACATTTTTAAACGCTCCAACATCCGAATTACAGGAGTACCAGAAGGGGAAGAGGAACAGTCACGAGTGGAAACCTTATTTGAACAAATAATAAAAGAGAACTTCCTCTTTCTGGCAAAGAAAAGAGAACTTCCCCATTCTGGCAAAGGAAACAGACTTCCAGGAAATCCAGGAAGCTCAGAGAGTCCCAAACAAGTTGGATCCAAGAAAGAACATACCAAGGCACATCATAATTACATTAGCCAAGATTAAAATGAAGGGGAGAATTCTAGAAGCAGCAAGAGATAAGGGGACAGTCACCTACAAAGGAGTTCCCATCAGACTGTCAGCAGATTTCTCAAAAGACACCTTACAAGCAAGAAGGAGCTGGAAAGAAGTATTCCAAGTCATGAAAACCAAAGACCTACAACCAAGATTGCTCTATCCAGCAAGCTTTCATTTAGAATGGAAGGACAGATAAAGTGCTTCTCAGATAAGATCAAATTCAAGGAGTTCATCATCACCAAGCCCTTATTATATGAAATGTTAAAGGGACTTACCTAAGAAAAAGAAGATAAAAAAGATGAACAGTGAAAGGACAGCAAACTCACAGTTATTAACAACCACACCTAAAACAAAAGCAAATTAAGAGGACAGCTAGATCAGGAGTGAACCATAGAAATGAAGATCACATGGAAGGTTAGCAACAGAGGAATGGGAGGAGGAGAAGCGGGGAGAAGGTACAGAAAATAAGTAGCATAGACAGTAGATAGAAAATAGATAGGGGGGAGAGTAAGAATAGTATGGGAAATACAGAATATAAAGAACTTGAGACACGTGTTCATGAACTAAAGGTGGGGGAATGGAGGGAGAGGAGTGTGCAGGGTGGAGGGGAATGCAGGGAGGAAAATAGAACAAATGTAATGGCATAATCAATAAAATAAAAAATATATTTAAAAAAAAGAAAATCCACTTGAAAAAATTATGAAAGAGAACTTCCCTAATTTGGTGAGGGAAATAGACATGAAAGTCCAGGAAGCACAGTCCCAAACAAGATGGATGCAAAGAGGCCCACTCTAAGACACATCATAATAAAATGCCAAAGGCTAAAGATGAAGAAAGAATCTTATAAGCATAAAGAGAAAAGCAGTTACTTACCTCAAAGGGGAGTTCCCATAAGACTGTCAACTGATTTCTCAAAAGAAGCTTTGCAGGCTAGAAGAGATTGGCAAGAAATATTCAAAATCCTGAACAGCAGGGACTTACAGCCAAGATAGCTATAAAATAAATAAAAAAATGAAATTACCACTAATACTGTATTTTGTTGAGTACTAATGTTAAAATTATTTATTACAATCGTTAAATTTAAAATTAGAATAGGCCACAAATATAGGTATAACCACCAGTCCATTTTCCAGAAATGCCACTTCTTCAAGCTGATGCCATGAAATTGTGAAGCTTCCAAGAGTTCACTGATTAATTATAGCACAGCCAAGACTAGAACTCAGCTCTCTTTTCTTCTGTTTCTGTTTTTAAGCCCGCTGTGATGCCCTTTTAGGCTTTGTGTGTGAGACTATCATTGTTTGATACACATGAGGCTATTAAAATGTCTAATTCTTCTTTTTTTATACAAACCTACCTCTATCTGTGTATATAACAATTAAAAAAATAATTCCTCAAATGATTAATTATGCAAAGATCTAGATTTTCTTTAAAAATATATACTTGCAATAAAGATACTGTCTAGTAGCACAAATGCCTCCCTGTTCTCAGGCACTGTGCTAAGGACTTTATATGAAATCCTCTTTTAATCCTAGAATGAACTCTGGGAGTGAGTATGATCCTTCATTTTCAAACATAAAAACTGACACACAAGGTTACTTGCCCATATCATTAGAATATCATTTCCTTTCTTGACTCCTCAACTAAATGGTGAGATTCATAAGGGCAAGCAATGTATGTATTTGATTACTATTTCCACCCTGACTGGTATGGTTCATTGGGTTGGGCATCTTCCCACAGACTGAAAGGTTGCAGGTTTGATTCTCAGTCAGGGCACATGCCTGGGTTGTAGCCCAGGACCCCAGTTGGGGGTGTGTGAGAGGAAACCAATTGATGTTTCTCTCCTTCCCTTTCTTCCTCCCTTCCCCTCCCTCTAAAAATAAATAAATAAAATCTATAATTACTATTTTCAATCCAGTACATAGATCATAGAAAGAACTCTCTTTCTCTCTCTATATGTATATATAGAGTGAGTAAATCAATAAATGAAAAGGTCTTATATTTTTTATCTTGCTCAGTGCTTCTGCACTCCTTATGCCTCCATGGAATGCCTTTAATAATAAAAGTTTGCAGTTATCCTGAAATTATGGAAGAACATGTTTCCCTTTGTAGCAAAATCTATAGTTTATTGCTGCTGCCTTGAAATGTGTACACTTCCAAAATTTTTCCAGCTTTTTTAGCGTAATAGGGTCCCTGTAGAAGCCTGTGCTTGCAAAGTGCTTTTCAGTTATTTACAATGAATTGTCCCAGTGGTAAATGTGACTCATCACCTCAACACTCCAATTCAGCAGCGGGGAAACACATAACCAAGTCACATCGAAGGTCAAAGTCAAATGAACAGGGGAGTCAGACATTAAACTAGTGACCCTGGCCCTGAATCTAGTTAGTTATGCCTCTGGCTCCTGGTCTCTTCCAAGATTTCTACATAGTTCCAAATCTTCCTCACTTTGCCAGATGTTTACCACATCTTTCGTGTGGAAGCAAGTCCTTTCAACTACTCTCACCAGGGGAAACCCACCCCACTTCTCTGAAGGAGAAATGGCTGAGCCAGTTCGTCTAAAATAAGAGCTGACGTGATTTTTTTGGTCTGAATTCTGAAGCTGTTCTGACAGCATTTTCTTGTTGGCTGAGGTCCTGCCAGTAATGAACTGGAACATGAAAACAAAGACGGTTCTCTTGTTGTTTCCTAACCAAAGAGGGCTAAGCACTGGCTGAGCACTGAAATGTCGGTATGCTTATCTGAGTCTTGAGCTTGACTTTTTCCTACCTAAATACTCCATCCAGCTCTTACCAGCATGCGAGCACACAAAAACCGTTTCCATGTAAGCCACTTTCTACAGTCACTTAACAGTTTCACCCCTGATATCTCCAGATTTTGTTTTCTCTTGAGAAAATAAATGAGCAGCTGAAAATAAAATAGATAAAAATTGCACTTAGAATGTAAGTACTATGACTTGTCTCTATTCCCAACTTCATCATCCAGTTTCATGTCCATACTAGCATTTTAATGGTGCCACATTTGTGTAGCTCCTTTGAAATTTGCATAATCTCATTAATTAAAGAATTGAGGAACATAAAAGGTAAGAGTAAAGAGATCATGCAAGAACAAAAACATAGCTCAAGACTTGGATATATAATTAGGTTTACCATTAAGGTATTCCTTCCTGCAGTGAAAAACCACTCCAGACCAGCCACTGTGGATCTAATCCAACAAATAAAGCAGCAGCAAATAAAGGGCACTGCATAATCCTTCCAGGTTTTCCCAATACCCTCAGAATTTGACACAGCAAACCTCAAACCCCAAAGTATTTCTCTGGAGAGATTTCCAGGTTAAACTGGGAACCACAAATAATTAGAGCAAGCTAACTCGTAGACAGTAGCCGCTCTGGCAAATTCACCACAAGGGCATTCCTTGGCATACTCGGTGAGTTAGCTTCCAGGCAAAAGAGGCCCGGGGAAGAATCTCCACTCCCACATCAGTGTCTTTCCTCTCTCTTCTCTGCACTTTCTTCCCCAGCGCCCACCCACAAAATAGAGAAGAACCACAGAATTCCAGCCCTGATTGTTTCAAACTGGTTAGGGCATCATGGTCAACTGGAACATGTAATGAGGCGGGAATACTATTTAGGCTAATATTTTACACTTTGTGCTTCTCTAGTTTAGCTGGGGTTTTTTTTTTTCTTTACCCATTAAATCAAGGACAAAGCTGGAGTTAGGACAGGGCTCCAAAACTGTTATTTGTAGGAGAAAGGCACATAACATTGACGTGTAAGAAGACCGGGTGTAAGAAACACACTTCCTACTCAATCTGGCTTTATTTTCTCACTTTTAGTGGTGACATGGATATAAGAAATAGATTTCCTTTTTTTTTCCACCTTAACACTACTACATGAAAATAATAACCTATTCCAAGGCAATGGTGAATGGCAGCTGACGCTAGACCTCAGTGTTGGCAGCAAGACAGTGGAAACCAGGAGCATGATATACCCTCTAAAAGTGGTAGACGCTTACCTCCAGCCCACTGCTGACACGCTGGAATTCAGGGCCCAGGCTTTTGCCAAACTGTCTGATGTTTCAAAAGAAGCCAGGAATCTGTACTTTTCCGTGTTGGCAACTTACTCTGGTTTTGTTGTTATTGTTGTTTTTGTTTTTTTAAGAAATGCTGTTCCAAGTTACATTGTGTGGGCTAAAAAACAAATTAATAAAACAGAAAACTTGTGTGCAACTTCTGCCTTCGGGTCTTGAGATCATAGTCAGATTGGCTCCTTAGCTTTTATTTCCTGTGCATCTCCACCTCACCCACTCAGCCTTCAAATTTCTTGCACAGCCCTCCACTTCAAACCTAGGTTTTTGGCAAAATCTAATCTCAGCACAAAACTCTGGAATCAGCAAAGATAGTACTCGTTTACCTCCACACTTCCTGAATGAGATTAACACTTAATAGGATATGTATTTTGAGAGCCTTTTCTCAATTGTGACAAGTGGCGTGCCCTCACCTGTACACAATCTCCTGCCATGAACAACACTTTTCAGTTAAAAAAAAACTCTGTCCCTGTGAGGACTCACATCTGTGGACAGGAGACCAAGTAGCGCCAACTGGTCCACACTGAGCTGAGCCCCAAACACATGGAACACACCAGTTAAACAGGAAGAGCAAAAACTATTTCAGAGCCATAATACTGAACCTGTTAAAATCAGAGTATCATTCGGCATTACACATGGAAATACACTTGGACACAGTTTACTTTAATTCACTCAGCTTACATTTAAAGAAACGGGGGCCCGAAGAAATCAGACGTTTGAGAAAGGTCAGACGCCAAAAATCAGGAAACCAGAACTAGGACTCACGTCTCCAGTTGCCACCTTCCATGTGTTTTCTGTTGTTAGCTGTTCGCTATTCTAACAATACTGTCAGGTGACTGCAGAATTTATTCACCAAGTTAAAAATGAGCAAAAGGAAACCAACCCTTTGATGATCCTACTCATCAATTTTGGTCTCTATTCTCCGATGATACAATGGCATATTGCATAGCTCCAGATGAAGCAACTACTGTGCTATTATTTTTTAATTTGTGTTCACTTAGCAGAGAATCAGGGCTTCCTATTAATCACGTTGCTTCTTAGTCTGTGATGACCAGGGTCCACAGTGCAAAAGAGAAGTGTACAAATGAACACAACACCTCATGACGCTTCTATATACCTTTTTTTTTCCCAGAAATTACTCACAGTCGGGAAATGATAGTACACAATTCGCTATTTCCTATAGGCAGACTCTAATCGGAAGGCAGGAGCGGTTTTTTTGTAGTCATTGTTTCCAGTCCTTAAGATTCTGGAGTGGATTTGGCCCCCAAAGTATCTCAATTTATGAAAAGAGGTTCTATCTCAGAATCTCAGACAGCAGGGTGTTGTAGAAAAAGCAGTGGGACCCCACCCAGCAGGAAAGAGTGGTAATGAGCACGTCCACTCTGGGATTCCATTTTCTCCTCTGTAAAGTGATAGGATTAAACGAGATTACTCTTGAGTCGCCTTCTAGTTTCAATATCTGCTGCTTCTTGTACCACGGCCAGGGCCCAACAACTTGAGATTTTCTGATGAAAACACACACACATAATTGACATCGTTAAGACTGGCATATTGTAGAGGGTTAATTGTTTAAGTGGGCAAGAGCGCATCTCAACCTGATATAAAATATTTGGCTTTGTTGTTTTTGCTGTTGCTGTGGCTGCTGCATGTTGAACTATTTTTTGATCTTGTCTTTAAATTCCAGATACTTGTTTACAAACTTTTGGGGGTGTCTGCCTTTATAGTTTGATGATTTCTTAAAAACACACACACATCTAAGACTTTCTTTAAACTTTAATCTTTTAGGAGACATGGAAGCAAGAGGGAGGGAAACACTTGTGATTTTTTGGCTTTTGTCTTAACAGAGAGACATTTTTCATTTTTTTAAGTCTCTGACTTTTTCAAAACAAACATCACAGGCAAGGAAGGAAATTGTGGCAGAGACACTAAAAAGTCCATACACTGCATTTCCACCCGTCCTCTCAACATTTCCACATCTTGAGATGCTTCTTTAACAATGAGGTGAAGATTGATGCTTTTCAGGATAATGAAGCATGGAACAGCCTTAAAGACATACAGTTGTTTTTCAGCTTCCTCTCTGCATGGGCCAGGATATTGGAGAAAATCAGCAGATTTCCAAGTGTTAATGTTCAACCAGGTACAGTAATGGGTATAAAGCCCAGACGACAAGGCAGATTCGTTTGACAGATCCACCGCTGCAGCCTATTGAAGTTGGCATGTACTAGCCTTGTACGTTGCCTTGTCTAATTAGCTGCTGAGCTGTCCCCTGGCTCCATGCTCCTGATGGAAACGTAGCGGGAAAACTCCTGTCACCAGGCATGATGAAGTAGTGCTTGATTGTGCTACACGATGTCCTGTGGCTGCAGTCCAGACTGCTTCAACTAATCATCAACCTTGCAGATTCCAGGGCTTGTCTACAAGGGCAGGAGCTTTGCAAAAGTCAGCATGAATGATCTGTAGCTGCAAAAAGGATATAAGGAATTGCTTTGTTTGTATATATTTTTAAAGGACTACAATAGACAGCCCCATGAGTGAGCCTGAGAAACAGGGGACCAGTTTTAAGTCAAGGCACCTCATAGCATCATCATAAGAAGAGAGAAGCACAAACATTTACTGTCTGCATATGGCCAGGTCTGTCACCAACTTCAGTCTAAAATTTTGGTTATTTTATGACTATGGAACTATTCAGTTAGCTCCTTGCTTTCTTCCCTTGGGTAGGAATCTGCCTGCCAGCTGCACCAAAAAGTTGCAGCTCTGTGCTTTTGGACAAACTACTTATCCTAAGTCACAGCTTCCCATCTGTAAGCTGTTTTATAGGGTTGCTGTGAGTAACTTTTATTCAAGTGCTTAGAACAATACCTGACACATAGTAAGTGCTCATTAATGTTAGCTGCTAGAATTATTATTAATTTTTAATCTATTGTTCTAAAAGTAAATGTAGTACAAGAACATCTCTTAATAAGCATTGTCTATATAGTGTACATTCTAAAGTTAACTACAGGTCTCAAATGACAGTTGAATCTAACTGGAATCTTATTTAGAGGGTTGTGGTAACAAGTTGTTAGGCCCTTGTCAGTAGCTCAGTTGGTCAGAGTGTCAACCCAATGTGTCAAGTTCTCAGGTTCAATCCCCGGTCGAGGCACATACAAGAAGCAACCAAATGAATCATGGATGGGTGGAACCAGATCTCAATCTCTCTCTCTCTCTCAAATAAGTAAATTAAAAAAAATGTTTTTAAGCTGTGAAGTCTTCCCATGCAGCTTTTGTAGGTGGCTATAAGAGGAGCAGGCTGTCCCTTTCTCTTTCGGGTGGTTAGCATTATCATACCTTGGTGATGAAAAGGGCCATTCCAAGCCATGTTTTCAAGGGCTAAAGCATATGCTCACTCTGGGTAAAAATAGATGTGAGTGTTCACACTTAAAATGTTGAGTGTCTGTCACTAAGACACAATTATAACTAATCTCAGAAGAATTACACTCTGTTACGATGTAACTGTTAACTCAGAAAACAGAAAGAAAGCATGTAAGATCTGGACTGAGACAGGACCAATCAGGCCTAACTCGCCCCAGCTCCTGTCTTCCGAATGAGAAACCTGGAGTGCAGAGCTCTGACTTGCTCATCTGTGTCAGAACCAGATTTCACACACACACACACACACACACACACACACACACACACTGAATCAGGGGCTCACATCCTCTGTAACCATAGGTGAGTTTCCCCTTTGAATATGCTCAGAAGGGGTCAGCCCTAGTCAGCCATTTTCCTAGCTGAGGCTCAGATTGAGGTTTTCCTCCAGTTCTTCTGCATCTGAAGGAGACTTCCTGAAATGGAGGGTAATAGGAAAGCACAGACATTATTTTATAGAACAAAATAATAGGTAAAACAAGGCATGTCCAGTTTTTAATAAAAAGAGTCACATATATGTATACATATACATATATATATATACATATGTGTATATATGTGAAAAGATACTCAAGACATACTTTAAGTGATAAAATAAGGTGCAAAACAGTCTATAGAATATCCAGTACACAATTCATAGAAGTGTGTGTTTGTACTTGCACGTGGTATGTGGGAAAAAACCTGGAACGGTGCACCAAATTGTTAGCAACCCCCTGGGGAAGGGAATGAGACTGAGGAAACCATAACATGTAGAAGGTACAAGGACACTCTTATCCTTTAGTCTACCTACTGCAGCATTATTCATACGTTTTACAGCATCAATTTTTACAAGTGTTACTTGTGTAATTATAACCTTGTTTAATAAATGCATTTCAATATCTTGGCTATGTCTATTATCATCTAAAACATCCCCAAAGCTTAAAGCTTTTGCCAAATCTGTTATAACAAAAGGAAACATTTGGCATGTGAAGTTAACCAGGGCCCCTCTGTTCTCAAACCAAGACACAATGTGATAAAAGTGCATCTCTGCTATGGGCCAGTAATAATATATAAATCCTGATTTGATCATTAGTTGTGTCAGTAAACACAAATACTCTCTTGCAATTTTGATTAAGCTTCTAAAGCATTTTAGGATCAGTATATTAAAAATAGAAATACATCAGTATACTGTGGTTTTTATGAATGCACATAAAATGAAACATCCTCTTTGATTTGTGCAGACAAATTGCATTATTTTAAGAATTAATCATAGAGTCATGCTTTTCACTCAGGAAATTCAGGACAACTTTATTCTTCATACTCCAAGGTCAGTATGATAACCAGCAGCAAAATAAAAATCAAGCTATATTAACCCTTCTTAGCAAAAATTATCTACTAATTTTCCCATTTTCTCTAGGAAATGGGAAATTATGTCTCATTAAGAAATGCATATTGGATAGCCCTTATATTTGAATGTTAGTTTTAAAATTCTTAAATTTTAGTTTAGTATTTTCTGTAAAGCAGTAATAAAAGACCCAAACTATTGTGTTGCTTATGTAGGAAAATCATCAGAGAACAGGACTGAACCTCTGCATGCCCTAA